CAAGTCCTTTACAGAAAACAGCATATTTGCATAGAACCTTTGCATACTTTTCCATATGTATTAAATCATCTCTAGATTACTTATGATATCTCCTTACAGTATGACTGCTAAGTGAAGAGTGGTTATACTGTATTGTTTAGGGAATAATGAAAGAAAAGTCTGAACATGTTCAGTACATATACTATTTAATTTTTTTATTTTTTGCAGTGCTGGAGATGGAACCCAGAACCTTGCATATCACTCTCTATTACTGAGCTACATCCTCAGTCTAAAAAATGTTTTTGATCCACTCATAAATCTGCAGATGCAGAACCCACAGATATAGAAGGGTAACTATCCTGCCAAATTTCCTTGTGATGCATTATCAGTTTACTCTTCTACCATTCCTTGTAGGAGAGAATGTCTGTGGGTCTACATGACATCAGAGGTTCAAATGCAGCCTCCCCATTAATGTGACCTGAAAAATACAGGAAAGCTGTGAAACAGGTGTTGTTAAGATCTGATGCCTTTTGTTCATTCACTCATGTTTATTGAGCACTCACTAGGTGTCAGGTTCTTGTATTCTAGCAGTGGAGATAGGGTGGCTGAGGGAGGATAGGAAGGGGTGGAGATGCTCCTTTAGAAAGTGGTGACATGGCTGGATGCCGGTGGTTTACTCTGGTAATCCTAGCTACTCAGGAGGCAAAGATCAGGAGGATGTTGGTTCAAAGCCAGCCCCAGGCAATTAATTCTAAAGATCCTATCTTGAAAAAAAAATTGCAAAAAAAAAGCCTACAGTCACTCAAGTGGTAAGAGCACCTGCCTAGTAAGTCTGAAGCCTCGAGTTCAAACCCCAGTGCCACCCAAAAGTGAAAGTGGTCTCAAGAGCCTCAAGAAGCAGTATTTAGGCAGCTAGGGAGAGCCAGAGAAGAGAAAGGTGAAGGGACAGGAAGGAGGGGGAGGAGAAGTCACCCAAGAGGCCATTGGTCTGGGCCTGTGGGAGTCCCAGTGTCCTTTTGCAGGCATTAAGGTTTTTCTATAAGCATTCAAATCCAGTGGGGTCCCATCAATCCTTGGGGACCAGTGACTAGTCGACAGGATGACATCATTCAGAATTTTCCTGCTTTCTTTAATACTGTTCTGAAATTGGAGGCAAGTTCATGATGTGAGTCCTTGGATGCTGTGACCAGAGCAGGTCAAATGGAGGCAAGACAGGCAGTCAGCTGTCCTCTTCCAGCTGTTAGGCCATGTGCTATCCTTTTCTACATGGGGGTAGGACCCCAGGGGGCCAGCAGCAGACCAGTGTCTGGCTCTAGAATTCAGAGTTCATTTCCTGGCTATTCTGGCATTGGCTGACCTCTATGGGGTCAGTGAGGTTGTTTCTGACCATAGCCTGCTCTGAGGGTTGGGAAAACAACAGTGAAAGATCCAAGTTACCTGATGATCTTGAGTGGTCACTGCCCCTCTCTGGGTCCTAGTCTTCTTCTTGGACTATACCTGTGGTTACTTGAGTTTCAACATTTTTTTAAGGAATTCCAGTGTTATATAAAGACAAACTCTAAAGCCACCAAGTAATGATAAATGGGTCCCCTTGCTGCAGTACTGTACACAGGCTTTTCTGCACACCCGGAGGTGAATATAATATGCAGTGTTTACCAAGCTGGCCTCACCAGGCCATGCCAGTATATATAATTTCTCGTCATTGGCACTCTGAAGTTCTCACCTCAGGATGTGCTAGCCAAGATGGTCTACAGAAGTGTTCGTAGCTTTGTTCTGAGATTTAATCTACAGAACCACTCACTGGCCATGACCTCCAGGGATCGATCCTTGCCTCCTGGTATTCATGTTGTGTGTGTTGGATTTATGGATCCACTTTTTCTTTTTCTTTTTTTTTCTAGTATTTTGTGATTAATACTTTGGGGATCTCGGCAGTATGGTTTTTGTTCTTGTTTATTTTTTCTTTTCAACAGTTTAAAGTCCAAAAAACCACTAGAAAAAGCTGCTCTGCTGGGTGAGCCCATGAATATGTATTTCCCTTCTGTTAAGGAAGAGCTGGATTCTGGCCTCTGTACCCAACATGTGCCTGGTTGCCTCCGGCCATGTGCTTGTTTCATTTCACTCAAGGACAAGGACAAGCTGGTGCTTAGAGCTAATGCAACTGACCTCTGATATTGGTTACAGGCTCCTGGCCACTAATTAACTTGTAACAAATAGAATATTGCAGAAGTAATGGGGTGTCACTTTTGAGATTAAGTTATAAGACTGTGACTTCCATCCTGGGCACTATTGGGCTCACTTTCTGTCTCAGGTCACTAGCTGCCATGTCATGAAGACACCTAGAAAGCCTATGGCCAGCATCCCTGCAAGTGAGCTCAGAGGCTTTTATTCCCATCACAGTCTAGCTTTGAGGGCACTGGAGCCCCAGCCTACAGCTTGACTGAAATTGTCATGAGAATCCTCGAGCCAGAAGCACTAGCGCCACTGCGCCAATTCCCAACCTTCAGAAACTATGAGATAATATTTGTTGTTTTAAACTGGAAAGTTTTGGCATAATTTCTCATGTAGCAATAGACAACCAGTAAAACTGTACAAAGCTTCTATAATCTATGGGTGTCTGGTTCATATAATTATTGGCTATATGTGAAATGGTGGAAACTGCCTATTTTGTGACATGTTACTTTTTCTCCCCGGCACTGGGTATCCAGTGTTCTCTGGTGGCCCATTAGAGGTCCTGGGGTATAAGAGGGAGGTGGCCTCATGAGGGGGGCTGCAGACAGCAGATTCAGAAGGTAACTGAGCAAGGGGGTTTGATATTCTAACAAATACCAGTCTGGAAAATAAGATTAGCAAGATATGGCATGTGTGCCCTCTGACCCCCGAGTACTGGCCTTGGCTTAGTATCTTGGGCTTAGACCTCTGTCCTTGGCCTGGCCCCTTGGCTCCCAATGGAACTGGAGTCCTTGGTCTGTGCTCCTATCATCCCCACCCTGCATGCTCTGGGAAACCAAACGTACTGTGCTCTCATCACCCCACCCTCTTTTGTCCTTCCTGCTTCAACACCACTCTCATCTTCGCATTTGTCTCCCACAATTGCATATGGTAGCTACTCAGAGCCCATGGCCCAAGACATGCTCATTAGGATGAAGCCCCTTCTTCTAAGGTGGGTTGAGGGTTCAAGATGAAATGCAGAGAAGGACAAGTTCACTACCAACATCCATATGCAGCTGGCAACATACACAGAACACCCAGTATGCTGGGCACCCACGGACAAAATCTTGAAATACCTGCTTTTTCAGAAGTGGAATTTTGAAATGAAATTGTCAAATGAAATCATGGAACCCACTATCTGGCAGATAAGTGGAGCTGCAGGTTGGGGCAGAAGGTGTAGCAAGGGTTGGAGTGCTATCCACTGGGCTCTCCTCTCTATTCCTTCCTGTAGACCCACCTCCCTCATTCCCATACCCCAGCCAGCTGCTCTTCCCCATGCTCTTCAAGAAGCTCTTCTACAGGTACTGCCTGTCCAGGTCTTGTACAAGCATCAAGTCCCAGAGGGACTTGGACCTGGAAGGAAGAAAACTAGATTCCAGTCCCAGTTAAAACTGGTACAGCAATCAAGGACCTGGGTTCCCATATACTCATGCTGAGAATTTGGGAAGGAGACAGAAATTCTACAGATTAATGCAGCTTCAAGAAGGCCAGCCACCATTGTGCAGTGAGAACAATGTTTATTGAGAATGGCTCATTACCAACAAAATATATTTATGTATAAAATCTCTGCAATGCAAAAGATCCCTTTCATCCCTGTGGCTAGAATGAACAAAACCATTTACTGTCCAGTGTGGCTTCAGAGACTGTACTGGACCACAGCATGACAGACTGGGCAATTGTAAGTGCCATATGCTGCAGGTGAAGTCCCTGATGTCCAGGCTCTTTCTCCAGCCCCATTTTTAAGACTTGTGCAAGAACACAAAGTGTGGCTTGCTTGCGTCCTGCCTCCATGACTCTCCTCTGGCAGATGGGTCTTGGGGACAAACTTCTTTTTTAATTTTACAGAGAGATGATCTCTAACTTGTGACTTGCTCTGAGAAGCTGTCATCTGGGCCCAGGGACTGAGCATTCTAAATGTCCTAGATGGATGAGGTGCTGTATTTTCTGTGGATGCCATTCCTCATGACCACTCCATCAGCATGTGTGCCATTCTGCATTCATATTGTTACTCTGAAGGCTTCAATTCCTTCCACTGGTTTCCTTCACATGGCTATTCTCGCCTTGAGTTCACCTGAGTCTCTCCTGGGGATGCCCACACCCCACAGCTGCTAGGTCTGGTGTTACGAGGCTCCAAGCTAGAGCTCCCTGGGACCTCAGATCATCCAGCATTAAGGCAATGGAAATGAGACCAGACTGAGACCAACACTAGTCTCTGAAACTCAGAGTGGCTGCACAGCTAAACAGCACCTCCTCTTGGTCCAAGGCTGCAAATGGTATTGAAAAGCAATATGGGTGAATGGTCTCACACAGCCCTTTCAAAGCCTACCTTTGCTCCTCAGAGCTACCAAGATGAGGGAGGAGCCAGCTGGCGAGTAAGGGAAGCAGCTGCCACATCACTCCTTGAGCACTGGACTACTAAGTCTGAGGAGTGTAGGGATGGGTGGAGGGCTGTCAGAGGCAGGGTACCCTGCCTCTTTGGAAATGACCCATTTCTCCTGTTTCTTAGGCACAGACCTGGGTTCAAGACCCAACTCCACCACTGCCCTGGAGTCTCCCAGGGTACCCCTCACCTTTCTAACGTGAGGACCTGCACTCAGACCACTGGCCAAGTCTCCTCCTCTTTGAAAAAGAACTTGGGATAGCTTACCTGCCCTTGAAAAGAGGTGTTAGTGGTTCCAAAGTACCTACAATCTATTATTGTCTTACTTGAAGGTGACACTCACACCAAAAGTAAAAAACTTAACTTGCAATAAAAGACACTCCTGCTCTCAACCAAAAAAAAAAAAAAAAAAAAAACCCAAACACAACTCCTGCCAATGCTACTTGCTATGCTGTGGGATGACCCTGGCATCACTCTTCTCCACCAAGACAGGAGACCCAGCATTATGTGCAAAAGGTCCTGACGTGAAAATCAGGGTGAGTGGAGGGTACAGGCTGCCTCTGCTCATTGCTTCAGGAATACAAACCCTAGCGCCTACCTCCAGAGACCTGGGGTTCCCCACACTCAGAAGACAGCCCCTACTGTCAGGAGTTAGGCTAGCATCAGGAAGTCTCATGAGTGCTGAGGGCTCTCTGGTGCCTGGGCAGCTATTTATTCCTGGAACATTTTCTTTGCTGCTGCCATCAAGCCAATAGTGGAGCCAGGGCCCAGCCTATTACCAAAGGCTCTCCACCCTACAAACCTGGAGTACCTGGAAGGCTGAGAGTACCCCAACATCCTAGGTGCAACAGAGCACAGTGGCTGTGAGGTATGCCTATGCTGTGTGGTAAACAAGCATTGTAACCAGTCACAGAAACTTGAGCCCACTGGAGACAGGAGGCAGCAGTGGTAGCATCCACCATGGGACAGGTGTGTGTGCGTGTGTGTGTGTGTGTGTGTGTGTGTGTGTGCTCTGCAGCACTTTCAGGAAATCAGGGCTTTGATTGGTCCAGCTCTAGGGGCCTAGGTTTGGCTGTGCTCTCTTCAAACACACAGATACTGTCTTGACAAGTGGCATAATGTCAACCAACTTCTCTCCGCAGGGCTCAGTACCAAGGTCTGTGAGATTGCCTTTTCCCTTGCCTTGGCTCTGGCTGGAAGCCAACAGAGGCACCCGTGGGGCTGGAATTTTCCTCTGAGCATGGTTAGAGTTGGGCCTAGAGTCCTTGGGGAAGCTCCCTTCAGATGTTCTAGGTGCTTGGGATAAGCAGCACGAAAACACTCAACACTGGTGGATAAACCAGCTGTGCCACAGTTTCCCAGAGTTCCCAAGGCTTTGTCAGACAACTAAAGCTACAGTCTGCATCCCAGTCCCAGCAGCCCCAGCCTGGGCATCCTGTCTGGGCCTGGCTAGGGTTGGTTGTGGATCCAAGTGCCTGGGTACACCAGTCTCCTGCTGTCAGCTGTCCAGGTAGACAAAGAGGATGTCCTCGTCTGTGCCATAGCTGGTTCTGGCCTCCTCAAAGTTACTGATGCTGGTACTGCACATTCCTGCTGGGGGTAGAGAGAACACAGTGGGATCAGTGGGTGAGGGGAGGGTTCCCACCAGCACCCAGGGGAATTAGATGAGGTCTGAGTAAGTACTACCTGCCTAGCCACCCCTCTTGGCCCAAGACCTCCACCCCCCAGAAGGTTTCCTAGTTACTCTGATCTTCATGGGCCCTTTCTTTTATTCTTCCTCGGTTTAGCAGACAGAGAAAGTAAGGCCCAGAGAGAGGAAGAAACATGTTCTAGGTCACATGGCAAGTCCTTCCCCATGTCCTGAGGGCAGTGGGCAGTCTGATCAGTCTGTCCAGATTTTCTTTTCTTTTTTTAGTGTTACTGGGGTTTGTACTCAGGGCCTCACACTTGCTAGGTAGGCACTCTACCACTTGAACCACTCTCAGTCCTGTCCAGACTTTCTAACAAGTGTGCCAACTGTCTTGGAAGGACTGGGAGTAGAGACTGCAGTCTATGTAGCCTGAATTCATTGAGGTGAGGACCCAGGTATGACCTTGGGGCTGGTGGTTTTGGAGGAAGGGGTGGTCAGAGACCATCAAAGCTGCGAGTTTGTGGCTAGTTTGCTTGCATGGCCAGAAGGGCAACCCCAATGACAAGAGCCCAGGAGAAGCAAGGACTTTGAAAAAAAAAAAAAGGCAGAGAGGGAGATCTTCGCAACAACAGCTCAAATGGGAGGAAGCAGTGTAGACGGGCCATCAGGACAGGACCACCCTGGCCTACCCTGACCCCAGCACTCACGATCAGCATAGGCTGGGTTGTTGTAGAAAATGCAGCCAGTGGCCCTGTTGTAGCCACGCAGAACGATGAAGTGGCCCTGGTAGTCAGGGGTGCGGCAGAAGCAGCGATGGCCACTGGGAGCGAAGCAGCAGTACTTGACGGGACTGGAGCACAGGTCACAATGCAGTACCCCTGAGTTCACCAGCACAATGGCCACATGGCCCTGCGCCAGATGCGCTTGGATGTCCTGCACGCTTACTGTGCTGTGGGCAGAATGGGGATCAGCTGGTGACAAAGAGCCTCATTCCCAATCTTGCAACTACATGGATCCCAGTTTGTACCCCAGTTCCTTCATGTTACAATACTGGGGCTCTATCTTGTCTTCTCTGTGCTCTAAGCTCCTTGCAGCTTGGAATGCCCTTGCTTGTCACTGTGGCCCAGGCTCAGCCCAGAGCCAAGCACAGGAGCAGACCAGTGTATGCATGGAGGGTGACCCTGTAGGAAGGGCAAGCAGGAGGCCAGTTCCAGATGGACCCATCTGAGGGCCTCTAAGGCATCACACAGAACACCACTCACAGCCTGGGTGGTGAATTTTTTGATAAGCCATTTCTCTTTTACTCTAACTCCTATGTGGTTTACTCTGGAAATGGACAGCTCAACTTAATTCCCCAAATCTGGACCAAATGTGGCTTAGCCTTTTTCTGAAAGGGCTATTTTTCTTTTCTTTTTTTCCTAAGACTTCTTGTGGCAGAAGGTGTTACTCAGACAGGGCTGATAAGATCCTGAACTGAAGGCAGCTGCATGGATCAGTCCTAGAGACTGGCCTTTTTTGTACCTTTTAGTAGGCAAAATATTCAAGTAAAAGCTAGAAGCTACAGAAAGGGTTTGGGGGCGCCTAAACCAAGGACTTCCCCATTTTTACTGTAGGGGGCTGCTCACCACATAGGGCCTTCATTAACTGTCTTCTTAGGAGTGGCAGTGTAAGAACCATGAGGCCTGGCCCAACTCCAGCCTCGGCTAAGTCACGTGGCAGTTTGGTTTGCTGCCTTGGATAAGGAAATGTGCCATTTTTCAGTTTAGTCTCTGAAACAAAACAGCTGGCAGAATTCCTAATGGTATGTGTAAGTGGGGATTTTTAGCTATGGAAAAAAGGCAGGAGTGGGCTAGAAGAGAAGGTTGCAGCTTTGTGCAATCCTAAGTCTGGAAATGCTGTGTTCAGATCACAGTATAGATACAATGCTGGGGTAATTGTGAGCATGTCTCCTTCAGCCTGTTTCTGCCCAAGAAATGATATAGCAACAACTTCCCCACTCGGTAAGACAGCCTATGAGGGTCCCTAAACAAACATTCAGTGCCTTTTCTTCCAACATGTACTCAAGTTGCCAAAGGATGAGTACAGATTTGTTTCCCCATTTGCTAATTCATCTATTGTGTGGTTAATTATGCTAATATGAAATCATAAATCTGTAAACAAAGGGGAAACCTGAAAAGAATGGTCCTGGAAAGCCTGGCTAGACACTAGAGGCAGTAGGCATGAGCACAGCCTCCACAGCAAGCCTGGAGAAAAACATCCCCCACAGTGTCTGCTTGAACCCAGCTCCCAACATATGGAAGAGAAAGGGGAAGCCCTTGTAAGATCATAGCCCCTAAGACCAGGCTTTCCCATACAGCCTACACACTGTTCTTGCCTGCTCCTTTTCTGTTAAGTACCCAACCAGCACATTCCTCAGGCTGTTACTCCTACATTAGGGCCGCTGTATTCTGTCCTATGTCATCATCCCATGAACAGTCCGAGGACTGGCCGCAGTCTGTGTTGCTCACTTGTCCCTCCAGCACCTGCTCAGGATCTACCCTAGGCCAAAACCTGAGTTATGTAGCCTCACTGATCCCTATTGTATAGATGGAGAACCCATCGAAGCTCAGAGGGGCAAGTCAGTGCCCACTGCCACCTGGGCAGAAAGCCCCAGTTCTGTCTAACTCCAGAGTCCCAGGTTTTCCCAAATGCCATCCCCAGGCCTCCCCTCCTGCAGTGTCACCAGTGGTGAGCAGCCATGTGTAGAAGGTTGAGATAGGAAGAGCTCACCATTTTTCCACTAGCACCTTGCAGGCCTTGGCTTGTGCAAACAGCTGGTTCACCCTGGTCTCCTCAGTGTCAAAGTGCTTCCTGTAGAAGGACTGAATAGAGAAGGGCAGGCTGGAGTGGTCACCCACCCTGGTTGCCCTCATCATATTTGGAAGAAGTAAAGAGGATATAACAGATGGAGAGGTGGGAGGGCAGAGGAACCCTGCTGCAGGGCAGGTGGTTCATACAATATGTTCAGTCAGAAAGTTGTATCTATCCCAGGACAGGGAGTGGACAAGATCACAGAGGTATAAGGAGGATACTCAAGAGATAGGTAGGCAGCCAGGTTGAGGCCAGTTCCTGGGGAAGATTGGTCACTCTCTGGTAGACATTCTCAGTAGCCTAAAGTAAATGGGGGCCAGCTCCTTTCTCTGCCTCAACTAGTCCAGACTCATTGGCCTTCTTCCCCTGGCCTGGAAGGTTCAAAGGAGAGTTAGGATGACTAGCACTAACTGCTGTGTGACAGGTTTTTTGTCAACCAGACCAGCAGTGACTGTACTGTGCCAAGTTTTGACCCTGGGCCAAGATCTGCCACAAGGGTAGGTAAAACTGGCTCTAGATATGTAAGAAGGCAGAACACACTGGTGTGTTGCCACACTGGAATTATTTTTCAAGAGAGAGAAAAAAGCAAATGGTAGCCACATGAGGTTTGAGTGATGAGCTCTGGGGCCCTGGGCCTGACTTGTGCTGGGGGACAGTACGGAAGGATGCAGGAAGGCAGATATTCCTCTGCATATCCTCAAAGTGCTGTACAAGGCAAGCTGGATCTCAAGGTTACTTGCCTGTAGCCGGTGTGCTGCTGCCCCCAGTCTCTGCACACCTGTTTGCTCGCTCGGATGTCCAAGCTTTGACCAGTCTCTCTTCTAACTACTACAACTGGCTGACTGTACCTCCAGGTGGCCCCATGTGAGAAGGCCCAGTGGCCAGCTGCTCACCTGGTTCTTGTAGCCCTTGTCAACACCCAGAGTCTGGGTACAAAAGCGGTGCCTCACACCAAAGTGGCGCATCAGGTAGGCTAGGTCAATGGTCCAGATGCTCCTGGTCAGCTGTAGCTCTTGTAGGGCACTCTCAAACTCTCCATCGTCCAGCTGGCCCAGGTACCTGCAGGCAGATAGGTCAAGGTCAGCTTGCTCTTGAATGGAAGATGGATCAGGTCACCCTTTACCTGCAGGCCAGAGAGCCACAGTTAGAGCTCCCTTCATCATGCCCACATACTGCCTGAGCACAGCCTGAGGACTGTCAGAGCCCAGGCTGCCAGGGGCAATGTATGGCCCCAGAGTCAAGAACCAGGATACTGGCTCTTGATCTGATGGGTATGTGACCCTGAGCAAGTTGCTGCCCTCTCTGGCCTCACTGATTTCATGTCTAAGACGAAGCCCTTGGAACACACATATGATTTTCAAAGTTTTAGGGACTGAATTTCATTAAATCCCAACTTTCCTAGAATTCCAGGTGTACAACAGATGAGGAAGAAGTTGATGTGGAGCTCCAGAGCACTGACTGACTCCTGTACAGGTGATGGCTACTGTCCCTTCTGGCTCTGACTGTCAAGATTTTTATAATATTCAGGCAGCATCAACTCAGAAGCCTCCCCAGAGCCTGAGGCTGAGAGAGTAGAGGATTCCCCATATGCCAGGCCTGGCCCCTAAGACTTCCCTGGCCATCCCGAGCATGGCACCTGCGCAGCCTGAGCCACCATTTGTTCACATTTGCAGGTACAACAGGGCCCAGACGTGAGATGGGCCTCTTGCAAGCCTCAGCCAAAGATGAGTCACACAGATGATGAATCCTGCCTAAGTTGTTTCCTTGTGTCCCTGAACCATAAGAGGTGGGTAGACACTCACCTCAGTACCATCCTGGAGCAGGCCAGGCCACAGTCCCAGTGGTAGAGCTGCTGAATGATAGGTACAGGCAGCTGCACAAAATCCCCTGCATAGAAACAGAGAGAGATTTCAGAGCTCAGCACAGTGTCTGCCATTGCCACCCCTGCTAGAGACTGTATGGGGGTTCAGGAGCCTCTCCACAGCTGCTCATTCTTCTTACAATACCAGTGATTACCCCAAATAAGTCATAGCAGGTGAGCCCTACGCAGAGTCTTCCAGTGGGTTGGTTCCCATATCTCTCAGGACAACACCTTCATGGCTGCTGCTCTAGCACCTCTCTTTCCCACCACTAAGCTACCCTACAGGGAGAACTTGCACCTGTCACGATCACTCACAACTAGACACCTTTGTACACTGCCTGGGTATTTCTGGCTCTCCAGGAGCTAATGTCTGCCCTTGGATCTCACTCCTCTGAGGTGCTGCCCATCTCAGACCTGATCCCCTACTGTGTATACTCATAGTACCCATACTGCTCCTTCAGAGCCCTTCTTTTGGGAGGAATTCCGAGGTATGGACAAAGGCTATTTTGCTTCTTGCTTTCAGACAAGGACTGGCACAAGGGAGGCATTCAGCAGATGAGTTCACAGGGCCCAATCCCCTGGCCACCCCCCCCAGGATCATCAATGCATGAAGGCCACAGCAAGGAGGAGGGGACTGTCACACAAGCTATATAAGTAGAATGCTCCTGTAAGCTCCACCCACCACTGTCCCTGGGTGACTTCTCAGTCTGTCCTTGCCAGACTTTCTGGTGGAGCAGAAAGGGCTGAACTTAGGTACCACTGGCTGGCTGTGGGCTGCAATTGACTTCTACTCACTGGACTGAGTTCAGCTAGCCCTAAAGTGGGGAACTTTGGTCTGATTTGGTTATTCAGTTGACAAATGTTTTCCAAGAGCCTATTAAGTGCTTGGCATGTGTACTGCAGTACTGTGGTGAGTAATACAGGCAAGGTCCCTGTCCTGGTAAGATAGCAAAAACAAATACAAGAGATAACCAGCAGCCTCTAGGCTCTAAGAAAATAGTGGGGATGTGCCCCAGAAAGGTCAGAGTCAGGAAGCACAATGCAGAGAAGGAACAGCATGTCCTGAGGCCCTGAGAGGAGCCTGAGGGGAGGACTAGCCTGTATATGGCTATAGAACCTTCCAACTCTACTCTCCCATAAATCTGGACAAAGTACAGTCTACTTGGGCATGGTGGGGCACACCTGCAATCCCAGTACTCAAGAAGCTGAAGCAGGAGGATCATGAGTTTGAGGCCAGCTTGGGCTAAATAATGGATCTGGTCTCAAAAAAAATAGAAAAAAAAAAATTCAGAGTCTAAAGAACCAGAAAGGACTTCTCTATGCTGGTCACCAGTCATTACTCACTCATGGCACTATTCAGCATGTAAAAAACCAGCCTACCCACATTTTCCCATCTTGAGGGTTTCTGGGGCTTCTTCTAGACCATTTGACTAGCTCAGTACAGAGTTATCCCAACAGCCCACTTGCCATGTCAGCCCCTGCTCCCACTGGTGTGTATCAACCAGAAGGGCCATACTAGCTGTGGAGTTTGTCCGGTCGTTACAAACTGCCACCATCATCTGAGTCCCAAGCTTCTACTCTCCAATGTCTAACCCTCCCCAGCTTTCAGAGCCTGGCTCAGAAGTCACTGTTTCCAAGGCCTGCCCTGATCTCAGGCTGGCCATTCCCTATCTCTCATGCATACTCCTTCAGGCCTGAGTTTACAATTATGCTCACAGGATGTAACGCTTGCAAGCAGCTTTTCTATGTCCTACTGGGCTGTGTGCATGTTCCTAGAAGATAGGGGCCTTGTTATTGCTCCTGACCACTCTGCATCTCTAAGGTGTGCAGTAGGGCCCATAGAAGGCAGGATGGCATGGGCAAACAGGCCAACTGCTGGGTCACCCAGCTTCTATCTGCTTCTTCCTCTGTCAAGTGGACTACTGTAGATGTCACTGTGCAGGGTACCATAACACAGCACGTGGGGTAATGATGTGCATAAAGCCTTTTACAGGTGCTGACATGAACTTTGCTTCCCAGCTGGCTCGTGGTGTGCTGAGCCCATCCTTCCACTTACCCCAGAAACTTCTAAAAGGAACCTAGGTCTTTCATTCAAGGCCCTTGCACTTTGCTTCTTACAACTGACATGGATTTAGTCCTAACTCTTGACTGTCTTCTTCCCCAAATTCTTCCTCCTCATCTGTCTCTGTACACATCAGCCAGAGGAATCCCATCCACAATTTCCTATTGTTCTTAGAACAAAGTTTTCACCGCTTACCATGGCCTGCAGGTCCCTGCCCAACCTGGGCCCACCAGTCTTGCCTTAGCCCTCATCTGTGTTCCAATGTGGCACCCTCTTCTGGAACTTTTTTTTTTTTGGCAGTACTGAGGCTTGAACTCAGGGCCTTCACCTTGAGCCACTCTACCAGCCCTATTTTTGTGAAGGATTTTTCGACTTAGGGTCTTGCTGAACTATTTGCCCGGACTGATTTCGAACCACAATTCTCCGGATCTCTGCCTCCTGAGTTGCTAGGATTACAGGCATGTACCACCACACCTGGCTGTCTGGAATTCTTAACTCTTCCCCCTGCTCTTCTTGTCATTGGGGTCCCAGCTCCAAATCTTTTTTTTTTTCTTCTGACTATGCTCTTGAAGGGTGAAGGAGGCCCTCCTTCATGACATCCTGTTTATTTCCTTCAGTGATTAGTAAATGTAACAACAAAAGAAGTTACTGTCTCCCCATCAGATTGTAAGCTTCCTGAGCGCTGGGGCTATGGTCTGGGTGTGCTTTCCCCAACCCTCAGCCAAAATTCATGTTGAAACATAATTCCCATTGTGTTGGTCTTAAGAGGCGGGGCCTTTGGGGACCCAATTCAGTCAAGAGGCCTCTGCCCTCAAGAATGAATTAGTGTCTCATAAGAGGGTCAGAAAAAACTAGCTGAGGCTTTGTTTTCCTCTTCTGATCTGCTATATGAGGACACAACATTCCACACCTTTCTGTCCCTTCCTGCCATGTGAAGACATATAAATGAGACATTATCTATGAGGAACAAGCCTTCTCCAGACACTGAACCTGCCAGCACCTTGATCTTGGGCTTCTCAAACTTAGTAAGCATTCACTGTATGTTAGATCTGGGGACACAAAGGTGACTGAAGACCCAAACCCTTACCTCCAGGGACTTATATTCTAAACTAGTTCCCCACACGTGCTGGCTGGAGGCAGAGCTCTCGGCAGAATGTGGTGCTATCATGGTGGGTGTCTTCCCTTTTTAGAATCTTCACTGGGGCTGTAAATGGCCTTTTTGTTTTTCTCTACTCAGGGATTACTCCCCACCCTTTGCCCTTGCCTAGCCCTTAGTCTGGAATTCTGTCTCCCATCTCTGAACATCCAAATGCTCTGGTTCCTCTCCCTTTCAAGACACCTCAACATGGAATCCTTAAGGTGACATCTGTTTTTCCCACTGGAAAGACAGAATTCCATGCTGGCAGGTGGGGACAAGGTTGTATTTGTCTCCCCCAAGCCCAGAGCCCACAGCAGACATTCAGACATGCTGGCAAACAGTTTCCCAAAAAGGCCTTATACCTTGAGATGCCCTGGCCTACTTGTCACTGCAGTGTCCTGTGCCCCAGGTTTTCAGACTATATCCCTCTGTTGGAGGCTCCCTCATTACTCTGACCTGGGCTATGGCACTGACTAGCTGGGCCATCTTTTGCCAGGCTATTGCCCTACCCATACAGCTATTATATGTGGTATAGGACAGTTGCTTCTAGGACCTGGGTGACTCAGCTATCCATCCTCTTTTCCCTGAGCCCTAGAACCACTTGTTCCTGAGATTCTGTGGAAATATTCTCACGTGGCCATCCGTGTCTTGGCAGAGGTAGGTCAGCCCATGTGGAGACTGAGATATTACTGTGTGGAGTGATAAGAGTAGGACAAGGCCTTGGCATTTGTTCTGATAACAGCTTTCGCCTTCAGAGCCCAAAGCCATTGCCAGCAATGTTGATGCCTGGAGCCAAGGGACTACTCCACTTGAGAACTAAGGTCTCCCTGGAAGGCCCTGGCCTGGCTTCAGTTATACTAGGGAAAGAACAGTTTACAAATCCTAGACATTTAACTCCTCTTAGCCTCAGTCTGCTCACCTGAAAAAGTAAATAATAGCAATAATCTACTTCACTGTGTTGTTATAAGGATTAAGGAGGCACTCCATACAAGCAATTTAGTACAGGGCCTCTTAGCTCCCTACAAATGTAAACCATTAATCTGCTGAGGCTTGGGGAAAGGAAGTATCTTGTCAAAGATAACTGAGTTAGGTAATTGGGGAAGTAGGGATATAAATCCCAGTGTAGCTTCAGGCCCTACTCCAAGCTGTAATCACAAGAGACTATTCCCTGGTTGTGGGTGCCACTGTCCTACCTGACACCTGAGTGTCTGGGTTCCACAGCCTCTAGACTTCTTCCACCAGGTGACATCTCACTTTACAGTTTACTAACATCAACCCTGTACCTTAAGTAGAGCAAGAATAATGACTTCCTTCTTTCCTCACTTTTTGGACAAGTAAACTGCAGATCACTGCACCAGTCTTAAGTCTCTTACCCAAAGGGACTCCAGCCTCACTTTCCCCTTTTCTCACTTCTTGGACAAGCAAAGGGCTCTGGCTTCCTTGGAGCAGAAGGAACCAAAGGGTGAAGAAATGTAACCAGACAAGACGCTGGGTGGGAAGGCAGGGAAAAGACCCTCCAATGGCTGAGTGCTCTAGGGCAGTTCCCTCCCCTTTCGACCTCGGGCTCTCCACAGATCCCAAAAGGGAAAGACCTCCCAAGGGGGCTCCCGCAGGACTTTTCATTTCTGGGGAAGGTGGCGCCCCGGGCATCGGACCTTCCCACAAGACCGCTGTACGAACTGACTGCGATTCCAGCCCTGGGAGACTCAGGAAACCCCAAATGAACTGAAGTGGGGTGGGGGGAGCCGAGGCGGGAGTGTCCACCTGACTAGGGTTAGATCGAAGCTTCCACAGCCCGGGCTGAGGCTTCAGTCGGCCCAAGGTCGCACGGCTGGACCCAGCCAAGCGCTTGGGCGGGGTCCCCAGGGAAAGGGCTAGGCCCTCAAAGAGGCACTGACCCGGCTCGAGCGGTGACCCCGCTGCCTCCGCCTCCGTCCTCATGACCCGGGCGGCACGGGGCGCCCATGGCCCCGGCCCGGCGCGGGCTACAGCTTCGGCTTCGGCGGGTCGGAGAACTCGGCCAATGCGTGTTGAGCTCCTCCGCCGCCGTGCTCCGTAAACCCGGAGGTGGCAGCTCGGCCGCCTCAAGCCCCGCCCCGGGCCTTCCAGGCCTGGGATCTGGAGGCCCCGCCCCTCCCTTAAACCCCGCCCTATCCCTCCCCCCAGGCTTCGGTTCCGCCCCTCTGCCCAATCCTCGTGCTAGCGCAGGCACTTCCCTGACGTTTCCCCGGAAGCACCGCCCCTAAGCTTCGGCGCAGCCCGTAGTTTGGCTCTTCAGTCTTGTAGCAAACTCCTATAATAACCCCCTCCTACCCCACACTCTTTGGTCGCCTCGTGTTAGTTCCCCGGTCCTGTCCTATGCCTCACCGAGGCATATCCTTCTCTGTCTTCCTTTAGGGGTTTTCCCTGTCTTATACTAAGATACCGTTCCTTGTTCAGGACGCCCTTACCAAGCAGGGGCAGGATCCAAAGGTTAAGTTGTGAGGGGAGGTCCTGGCCCTCGGCCCCACTTCCTGTCGCCCTCCTACCCACACACCAAGCCCCGGATTCCCGCCTGTCCTTGATGTGGGGTGCTTGTAAGTACGAGCCTTGTCTGCTTGCCGGGGTCGGTATTTCCGGCAGCCCCGGACCGTCTCCATTAGCCCTGCCCTTTCCGGGGCCGGAACCGTAGTACCAGAGCCCGTGTTTCTCAGCCGGCGGAGTGAGGAGAAAGCGTAGGCAAGGCTACGCTCACCTCTGGCGAAAGGAAAGGGGCGGACTCTTCGCACGGCATTGTGGGAACGCGTGGCATTCTGGGAGTGCAGGGCCCGCCATTCGCTTCCCTCACGCCTTCGCGGTCGCAGCGTTTGGCCCAGAATCGAAGAGAAGAAGTAGGTGAGGAGAGGCGGAGGATGGGCGGGAAAGACCGTGGCGCCTGCGAGGGGATAGGGGAGGGAGAAGGATGCGCTGCCGAGGAGTTCATCAGGGCTTGGAGAAGGAGAGCTGGAAGCCCGGGCCATCCAAACATCAGCGTCACCTCACTAGTTCTTAAAATTGTTAGTTATAAGTTTGCCCCAAAAGTAAATAGTTCTCACTTTCTGTTAATTTTCAGGTCAGCGTTTTTCGAGGCATCCTGGCAACAGCCTTTGAAATTGTGACCTCTTTCTCCGAAGTCCTATCTGGGTCATCCTTTTCAACGTCCTTTGCATCTTGGCTTCCCTTGTCCTCGCCGGGACTGGTCCCCAAGTTGCTCTGCTTTTTTAAACTGTATGTTCCGTTTTGTAAATGCTGCTACTTTGTTAGCCTATCTTCTTTACTTGTAATTCTGCAGTATTTCCAGCATAAAATCCAAACGCTGAAGCCGAAAGCCTTGGATCCATACCAAGGGAGCCTGTCTTTAACCTCATACTCTCTTTGGGCTCTTGAACACACGCGATATATTTCAATCTTCTCCATTTAAAAGTCTGCTTTCCTCTTTTAAAAAGCGCAAGCCAGGCTAGGCTGGGGATACAGCTAAGTGGTAGAGCGTTTGCCTAACGTGCACAGAGCTGTAGGTTTAATCCTCAGCACTGGAGGGAGGGAAAAAGCCCCAAAACACTAAAATCAGTTTTTGAGTATCTGGAAGTGTGGCTCAAGAGCCTAGGAAGCGCAAAGCCCAGAGTTAAAACTCCAGTATCGCCAAGAAACCAGAGTAAGTCATGTTGATTGTTTTTCCTCCGCGATGAACATTTCCTGCTTATAGCATATCACTTTGTGAACATTTTGATATTTTTTCTTTAGCCTTGGTGGTAAGGTGGAGAGTCAAAAGTTTTGAATTGAAAGCATAGTCTCTTCCAGATTTGTCTGGGTCCTTTGGTCTACACCACCCAGTAATAGCCACACATGTGGTTTTTTAGCCTTTGAAATATGGTTAGTGTGACTGAGGGATGGAATTTGTTTGTTTTGGGTTTGAGCTCAGGGTTTCACACTTGCAAAGCAGGCACTCTAGCGCTTGAGCCATACCTCCAGTCCATTTTGCTCTGGTTAGTTTGGAAGATAGGGGTCTGGCAAAACATTTGCCTGGGCTGCCTCAAACCTTGATCTCAGCCTCTCAAGCAGCTAAATTACAGATGTGAGCCACTGGCATAGCTGGGAGTTAATTTTTTATTTTATTATTGATTATTATTTTTTGTGGTACTGGGGCTTGAACTCAGGGCCTTCACCTTGAGCCACTCCACCAGTCTTGTTTTTGTGAAAGGGTTTTCGAGATAGAGTGTCGAGAAGTATTTGCCCCGACTGGCTTTGAACCATGAGCCACCGGCGCCCAGCAATTTTTAAAATTTTAATAAGTTTAAATAGGTACATGTAAATAGTGACTACTGTACTGGACACCTTAGGTCTGTATCATGGTTGAAAATGGAGTTACCCACAACTGTGGGTTGACAAGTACATTGCTCTGCACATACGTTTCAATCCCCTCTCCACCAGTACGCACACAGAATAGGTTAATGGTTATTTTGATGAAGATAAAGAAACAAATGATAGGGAGGAGAAAGGGAGGCACACTTCATTCCCATTATAGCTTTCCCTCTGTTCTCCTTACTATTCCTTCTCACCTCACGTCTTCCATGTGTTTACCAGGTAGGTTTTTCTAAGCTAGGAGCTGAGCTCCTTTTCTCCTATAGAAAATGCAGCTTTGGCATCTTTGCTGAGTTTTGTGGAGTGTTGAACCGTCTCAGGTTTTGAAAGATGCCTTTGTCTCTCTCACTGTAGAACTCTCGTCCTGTCAAGATGTCTATTGGTGTGCCAATAAAAGTCCTCCATGAAGCTGAGGGCCACATTGTGACTTGTGAGACAAACACCGGTGAGGTATATCGAGGGAAGCTGATTGAAGCAGAAGACAACATGAACTGCCAGGTATCTTGCTTTAAATCGGAGGCTTTAGAGGAAGTCTGGGCCTGTATGTTGGAAGACAAAAGGGTAGTAAATGAAGGTCTTCATGAAGTTGTTCTCATTTAACAGTTATTTACTGACTGCATTCCAGGCACTCTTAAAAGGCTTTGAGTCTGTGTTTGTGTGAATAAGAAACTCTTGAGGCAGAAACATTTGGAAGCTGGGCGTGATGGTACCTACCTGTAATTCCAGCACTTGGGAGTCTGAGATAGAAGATGGAGAATTCAAGGACAGCCTGGGCTATGTAGGCAAGACTCTGTCTCAAAAGAAAGTCATTTCAAATATTTAATTTGGTCCTTTGTTTTCTCTGTCCCCTTAATAATTTTTTCCATATTTGAGGGGCCCATTTGAGAGAAGTGGTACTACTCCTTTCAGTAGACTCCTTCAGATTTGAGGCCATTATCCATTTCCCCCCACATGTTTTGCAGTTAGCAGAACCTTCAACTTACATATGTGTCCTTGCCTTTTTTCTTAGAGAAGTCTCATTTGATTATTTTAACCACCTTGTGAGGTAAGCTAGTTTAATGATAATCTTGTCATTCATAAAGTAGGGAGAACTAAAGGAACATCACTGAATAAATGATGGAACAACTGCCTGACCTGGCACCCTTCTTGTAGCACTGCTTTGCCTTTTGAGTAGTCATGTAAATTTTTATAACGTTACTACTACAAAGTATATTAGCAGATGTTCTTTGTTCTTTAAACTGTTGGTTAAGAGCTTGGGCTTTGGAATCAGAGATGCCAGCTTGAATCCTAATTATATGGCCTTAGGCATGTTAATCTCAGTTTCCTCTTGTGTAGCATGGGGATGGTGTTATTTTGGGTCCTCTGAGCTATAGATGCAAGAACATTCAGTAAAACCCAGTAGACTGAATAGAGCTAAACCTGGTAACCACTGAACACTTCACTCTCACATGTCAGAGACTGTGACTCCTGCAGTGTTCCCTGCTGCCTTTCCTTCCTAGCCCCAGTCAGTCTGCCCTTTGGAAATGAGGGCATCCTCCTAACACTTTTCCTGCTTCTTCTTTGCTAAGAGATAGCTGGAATTTGACATTCGATGTTGGGTTTTTGTTTGGTTTGGGTTGGGTGTTTTTGTTTTGGTTTGGTATTTTCGATACTGGGGTTTGAACTCAGGGCCTTGCACTTGCTAGGTAGGCACTCTACCAATAAAACCACACCCCCCTGCCCCCCAAATACACACACCCTCCTAGCCCTTTTGCTTTAGTTTTTTTTTTTTTCTGGTACCGGGACTTAAACTCAGGGTGTACACCTTGAACCAGCCCTTTTTTGAGATGGATTTTTTTTTTTTTTTTTTTTTTTCAAGATAGGGTCTTGTGAAGCTGTTTGCCTGGGTGGCATCGGACATGATCCTCCTAATCTCTCTCTCCTGAATAGCTAGGATTATAGGCATGAGCCACCAGTGCCTGGCTGCTTTAGTTATTTTTTAGATAGGGTCTCATGTTTGTGCCCTGGCCAGCCTGGATGGGATCTTTGTATTCTTCCCTAAAAGCTGGGATGGCAGGTGTGTACCACCACTCCCAGCTTTTATTGGTTGAGATGGGGGTCTCACTAACTTTTAGTCTAGATTGGCCTGTAACTGTGATCCCAATCTCCGCTTCCCAAGAAGCTAGGATTTCAGGTGTGAGACAGCACACCTCATGGTTTTTGTGTTTTGTGGGAAGGGTTTTTGTTTGTTTTGAGACAGGGTCTCACTATGTAGCCCAGGCTGGCCTGGGACTTGCATTCCTGTCTTCCACTTCCCAAACACTGGGAATGCACCATACCTTGATTGAGATTGGGTTTTAATAACATTTTCTATTAGAAATTTGGGGTGAATTAGCATATTACAAAGATTTGGGAAACATGACAGAATTTGATAATCACTTCTTTCCCTTTGTGAAAAAGAAAGGAAACTAAAATTTTGAGAAGTATATGCTTTTCAAAGAGTTAGATATGGTTTACAAAAATGATATATTTTTTTTTTTTTGCGGGGGAGGGTGTTTTCTGGCCTTGCATGTGTTACACAGTGAACCATACCTGCTTGTTTGTTTTGTTCCTTGATTGGAGTGGAGAGAGGGGCTTGTTTGTTTTTCTTTTTCTGAGACAGGATTTTGCTGTGTGGCTAGAACTGGACTTGAATTTGATATGTAGCCCAGGCTGGCCTTGAACTCAAGTTCTCCTGCCTCACTGTGTAGGAATTAAAGATGTGTGGTACCAAGCCCAGCCTCCTTAATTATTTTTAAGGTAACCTGTTAAAAGTGTTTTTAACATTTGAAAATGTAATGTATTCACGCATGAAACCTCTGATGAGGTCTTTTATTGGTACTTAGTGGGTCAGGGATGTAGGCACTTCTGGGCATCTGTGGTTTGGCTAGGAAGACAGCTTTGCTCTCCTACTCCCCATATCTGACAGCTGCAAGGCAAGCACTGTATGCTGGCCAGTGCCGCACGTTGTGGTATCAGCTATGAGTGGCAGTGTGCTGTTCCATGAGGATGAAGGTGCTGTACATTTCAGTTAATTTTTGTTTGTAGCAGAGATAGGACTTCTCCAGTCTTTTACCTGGCTTGGAGATGGATGACTTATAATTAGAAACCACCAAATGGGGAAGTTTTTGCTCTTGGCTTTTTTACTTATTGTGGACCTGAAACATCCTGTCCTTAATAAATGTCAAGAAGGGTACTAAGAGATTTTCTTCAAAAGGGGAAGAAAATATTTCTTAAGAAAAAATACTTCTAGACTGGTGGAGTGGCTCAGGCAGTAGAGTGTCCACCTAACAAGCCTCATGAGTCCCTGCAGTTTGATACCCAGCCCTACACACACACACACACAATTAAAAACCATAAAAAAGCTATAAGATGAGGAATAATAAGTTGGAATGAGCATACAATTTTTTTTTTTTTTTTTTGACAATACTACGGTTTAGACTCTGCCTTGCACTTGCTAGGCAGGTGCTCTGCCACTCTACCAGCAAGGCAGGAAAAAGCATATAATTTTTTTTTTTGTAGTCTAAATTGTACTTATGTTGCCTTCTTTTGTGGCTGTAGTTTTTTTCACTACTGAAGTTTGAATTCTGGGCCTCATGTTATGTTTGCATGCTTGTTAGGCAGGCACTTTTGCCACTTGAGCCACTCCGCCAGCCTTTTTTGGGTGTGTATGGGTTTTTATTAAGATTCCAGTGTGAAGATACAAGAGGCTCCTTCATAGAGTCTTAGTGAATGTTAGGGATCTTCTGGTCCAACTGTGGGTAATATTTGAATACTTAGGATATCCTCTAATTAAAGCCAAGAATGTTACTATCCCAACTGAAAGTGGACACAAATCATAAAGTGAGTGATTCATAAAGGGAAAAGTATATAAATGGACACCTAATACGCAAAAATAATGGCATTATTAACAGTCAAATTAGTAAATAGTAAGAATATATAGCCTGCCAATGGCTTACACCTATAATCCCAGCTACTGAGAAGTCAGAGACTGGGAGGATCGAGATTTGAGGGCGGACAGGACAAAAATAGAATTAATAACTTCATCTCAACAAAAAATAAGCTGGGACTCCTGGTGTACTGTTGTAATCCTAGCCATGTGGGAGAAATCATGGTCTGAGGCTGGCCCAGGCAAAAAGTGTACGACTCTATTTGAAAAAAAAAATCTAAAGCAAAAAGGGCTTAGAGGCGTGATTCAAATGGTAGACCACTTACCTAGCAAGCACAAGACCCTGAATTCAAACTCCAGTGCCACCAAAAAAAAAAAAATCATCCAAAGGTAAAAATAAAATCAATGATGCTATTGAAGGATTCCTTTCTACAATGCTAGTAGAAGTGTGAATTAGAATATCATTTCTGAAACTGCACTTAACATGTCAGTGTGGAAGAGTTTGTGCCCTTTGTTAATACAATAGTTCTGCTTCTAGGAACCAGTTCAGAATTTTGGAGGTGGCACATGTATCCATTGCAGTGCTATTTTTAATAAGGAAAGCCTGAAAAATCAACATACCCTGTTAAAACAGCTAAGTAAATTATGGTTAACTAACTTGGGTACATTACAAAGAATATGATTCATTCAGTAAAAAGATAACTATTTAAAGTCTATTTCAAAATGCTATTGATATCACGGAAAAAAGTACAAAACTCCAAACTATGCTTCCAATTTATAAAAATAAAACTAAATTATAAGTGATACTTAAAAGTGCTAAAAGTTTTAAGAAAGGAAGTGGGGAGGGGTGTTGGGGGGAGGGGAGGAGGTGGCCCAAACAATGTATACACATGAATAAATGTGTAAACAACAAAGAAAAAAGAAAAAGTTTTAAGAAAAACCAAAAGTTATCTTTGAGTGGAAATTTTATGTAGTTAAAATAAATTTTTATAAGTTATTTTTCTCAGCTGGGCACAGTAGTCCTAGCTACTTGTGATGGTGAGGTGGGAGGATCATTTGAGCCCTGGAGTTCAAGGCTATCCTGGACAACAGAGTGAGACCCTGTCTCAAAGAAAATAATTTTTTTCTCATTTTAAAAATGATAAGAATAGGGATGAATATGGTGTCCCCTTCCTGTAATCCTAGCACTTAGGAGGCTGAGGCAGGAGGATTGCAAGTTTGAGGACAGTATGGACTGCATAGTGACATCACTAAAAAAAAAGCTGAGAATAATGTTTTTTAAAAGAAGAGTATGTGTTAAGTTTATGATCACAATACACAGTAAGTATAATTTAAAAAGAGAGTAATGGCCAGGCGTTGGTGGCTCACACCAGGAGGCAGAGATCAGGAGGATTGCGGTTCAGAGCCATCCTGGGCAACTGTTCGTGAAAATATCTGACCAAAAAAAGGGCTATTGGAGTGGCTTAAGTGGTAGAGCACCTGCCTAGCAAGCATGAGGCCCTGAGTTCAAACCCCAGTACCACAAAAAAAAAAAAAAGAGTGAGTGAGTAATGGCTAAATCTATTTCACTACACACAAAGTGACAAAATTCTCAGTGGCATAGCCATCTGGAAAAATGATCTGTATGTGGAATTTATTTAGTATTGTTTTCTTACAAAAGGGATAACACAAAAGAAGCTCAACCATGAAAGGGCCAGTAAAAACCTGCCTGTAACTTATAGAGGAAAGCTTGATTTTATTTATTTATTTATTTATTTTACTTTATTTTATTTTTTTGGTACTTAGGGCTTTGAACTTTGCTTTAGTTATTTTTCAGATAGGGTCCTGTGTTTTTGCCTGGGATTGGCCTCAGACCATGATCCTTCTGTCTGTGGTCCTGTGTAGCTAGAATGACAGACAGCACTACTACACCTGTCTTATCGATTGAGATGAAGTCTCACTTAACTTTTTGCCTGGGCTAGCTGTGAACCAGTCTCTGCCTCCCAAGTAGCAGGGATTACAGGTATTAGCAGACTTTTGACTACAATGTGGTTGAATTTCTTTAGCCCTCTAGTTTGAAGAAAAACCAATTTTCTAACTATACATTTTTTTTCTAAACTATTTTGAAGTGGATTGTATTTGTTGTACTCCTTTACTCACATAACACTTGTGTGTGTATTTTCTAAGACCAAAGATGGGTAGATGGTATCACTTGATATTCCAGTTGACAGTTCTGAAGGAAAAACCAATTCAAGCTCAGACTTTCCCACTGTACTCTGACAGCATGGATTGCTTCTGACACCACGTGTGTTTGGGTTTTCCCCACACACCAAGCAAACAGTCAGTTCTGTAGTGTTCCAACATTAAGATGTACCCCAATTTAACTCAGTTCTGACACTGGAGATAGCATCAAATCTCACAAGTTGAGGACTCAGTCCCCAAGACTGCTCCCACTCCTTTATATGCCAATTGCAAGCAAGCCCCAGGTTGTTTTACCTGCATTTCTGGTCAACTGGCTATAAATTTTAGGGTTCCCAACCCTTCCCCCCACCTACCCAAAGATTAATTTGCTTAAGCAGCTCACAACTCTGAGAAAGTGTTTACCAGTTTACAATAAATGATATACAAAAGATACAGATGAAAGAGAGGTGTAGGACAAGGTATAGGGAAGGGTTGTGGAACTTCCATACCTTCTGGGTATACCACCTCCAGGAACCTCCACATGTTCAGCTGTCTGGAAGCTCTCCAAATCCTGATTTTTTGGGTTTTATGGAAACTTAACTTCATAGGTATGGCTGAAGCATGGACATCCATGTGGAAAGGTAATTAAAGGGATATTATCTAATGCTAACAAACTTGAATGAGGAGACAGGACTCCTCCCCCACTTTTTTTTTTTAGTGATGAGACTCAGTACATACTAGACAAGTTAGACAAGTGCTCTATCACTGAGCTACATCCTCAGGCAGTACCTTTTCTGAAATGGATTTATTGTGATCTATCAGACAAGGTAGATCTGACAATTTTATGAACAACTCCAAGACAGAAAGAGTTTCCTTTTTTTTTTTTTTTTTTGCAGTACTGGGGTTTGAACTCAGGGCCTGCACCTTGAGCCACTCCAACAGCCCCTTTTTTTTTTTTTTTTTTTTTTTGTTCTGGGTTTTTTTTTGAGATAGAGTCCCACGAACTATTTGCCCAGCTGGCTTCAAACTGTAATCCTGATCTCTGCCTCCTGAGTAGCTAGAATTACAGGCTTGAGCTACTGGTGCCTGGCTGCAGATCAGAATTTCTGTGGTTTGCCTTGAGAGGGAATTATGAGCTAGAAACCAGGGATGGAAACCAAAAAATACATAAAATGATGAACACTATTATTATAGTATTAACCAACTTCGCCTGGCTCTTATGTCATGGTGTTAGCTTTTCCATTTCTAGACTTCCTACAGTCAAAGCTCCCCCTCTGTGTACCTCATGTCATTGACCCTCACTGAGATTTTATGTATATGTGTGTATATACAATATAGTACACACCTATGTTACTTCACAATCCTGGAGCAAGCTTTTTTCCATCTTTGCCCACGATGTCATTTCAGTTGGATAGCTAGTTTATGCCATCTGTGTTTCATTGTGGCTGTTTGGGAAAGTTGAGTAAACTTGGTGTTCCTGCCTGACTTTCTTTAAAACCTAGTCTACTCAAAAGTTGCTGCCTTTGCCTTTATGGTGCAAACACAGCACTGTGTACACAGTACTGTGTAGCCATTTCTCCTATGGTGTTGCTGGGAAAGCATGAGGGCAGCAGTGAGCCAAGGTCTTAGTGTTGGAATAGGAGTCAGATGACACTGTGATCTCTTTCTTAGCAAGGACACAGGCCATTTGTGGAAATGCCTAGATTAAGTCTTGTTGGATCTCGTGACGGCCTCTTTCAGAAATTCTCAAAGCAGGCTGGGGTGCGCTCTGACAGGAAAGGAGTGAGATGTTCCAGCATGTGCTAGAATTTTGGCTTAGCAATAACATACCCCCAAAGTAGACATTTTAACTATCAGTCAGATTTGACATTTCCTGAGCATCTGTTAGGCGGTAGACAATGAGACAGAATTAGACATACTTTGTCTTATTTAGTTTGCTCTTTAACAATTCTAGGAAGTAAGTGATCTGTTGTAGTGGTTTAAGTCTGTTAAATATAATGCCTTGTATATGTAAATTTTTGAGAAGTATAGTAAAGGAGAATTGAGGGTTCTTGGTGGATTTAGAATCAGATAGACTTGGGTTCAAACCCCAACCAAGGCGTGTAGGGCAGTGAGACTTTGGCAGGAGTATATAGTGAGTAAGGGTAAGGGTATGGGCCTCCAGGGACAGATTTGCTATTGACAGGTTGTGTTGTTTCGTGTCTCCAGCAGGGATGGCGATAGTGTCTGTCTCTGCCGTGGGGTTTCGTAGTGCAAAATGAATTCTTTGGGAAATCAGTCACATGGGGATAATGCCTGGTGTCTAGTCAGTGCTCGGGAAATACTGACTTTGTTACGTTGTATTTTCCTCACCTGTAGGGGAGAGAACCAGGGCTCAGAAAATTCTGGAGAAATACTCAGGGTCATACCCTTAACAGATGACAGAACCAGGTCTCATTTTAGGTACTCAGGCCATTTCTGTGTCTTCTATAAAGTCACAAGTATGTCTGATATCAGGGAGTCTGGGTGGGATCCAAATTTCTTTCTTGGATGGTCTTACCATAGCTATATTCATTTGTGGCACTAAAGGTTATGATACTCTAAAAGGGAAGATTATATGGCAGGAACTAAGGAACTATATAAAAGTGGAAGGAAGCAGGAGTCTGCTGCAGGTTAATGGGAAACTGGAGCCTGTTGCTTCCGAAGGTAGAACAAGGATAGTAGGTTGAAGCCTTGGAACCAAAGGGCAGATAGAGCAGGGACAGCCTCAGAGTATTACTGGTCTTTTTTCAGTCTGGTTATTCAAGCAGAAGCTACCTGGCTAGTTAGTGCTTAGAGAAAAGATGGTAACAAGCAGGACAGAAATCTGGGGAGAAAGCAAATCTCTACAATGTGAGCTTGATTCATTCTGGATAAAATATAATCCTCTTTCATCCAGAAGACTCATCAAATAAACTACTTCTGGTAAGCGTGGCACTTGTTGAATTTGGCACTGGCAGATTTTTGTTACTTGTTCATGTTCAGTAAGTCTCCTTGTTGATCTCACCTAGAAGCTCCCTCCCTTCACTCCACATCTACCCGTGTTGGCGCATTTGTCTTCCAAAAGTGCTTCCTTAACTCTGTCAGCCTTTACTCTACCCACAATCTTGAGTGACCCCCTTAAGTCTCTGAAGTGATGACCCTTGGTCACAATTCCACCACTCCAGTCCCTGCATCCTAAATGTTCCTGATGAGTTCTCGCTCTCTTGTGCAAACCCTTGCCTTGGGACCTCTCCACTATTGCAGGCCCTGGGAGCAAGCACTGCCACCTCCACTTTTCAGTCCCTAGTCACTCACCTTCTAGAATGTACACTTGGGGAGAGTCAGAACTGTATCTGGTATGTGCTAATGATCTTTGCAATATGAGTGTCAGGCAGTTGCATCGAGGATGTGATTTGCACAAGCAGTTTGGGACCCCCAATTAAGGGTTTTATCAGCATATAGGACTCTGAAGTTGGACCAATTGGTTCCAGTCTGCAGTCCCCTTCATTCCAGCTGTTTGAGTTTGAACAAGCACTTTGGAGTTTTTTGTTTTTAATTTGTAAAAGTGGGAGAGTTCATGCCTACCCTGGAAGTGTGGTGAGAACCATTTATGTGAAGCTCTTAACACAGTCCCTGGTGCACAGAGAAGTGCCGACCTTTACTGCAGTATGTTAGCAACTTTTCTTGATTCTTTTATATCATAATGTCAGTTTTTTTCTTTCTAGACTCCTCCAAACAAAGCTTCCCTTCTTTGTGTGCCCTGGTGCCATTAACCCTTACTGATAAGCTCGTGATTTTTTTTCAGATGTCCAATATCACAGTCACATACAGAGATGGCCGAGTGGCACAGCTGGAGCAAGTGTACATCCGTGGCAGCAAGATTCGCTTTTTGATTTTGCCTGACATGCTAAAAAATGCACCAATGTTAAAGAGCATGAAAAATAAAAACCAAGGCTCAGGGGCTGGCCGGGGAAAAGCTGCTATCCTGAAGGCTCAAGGTAGGTGTTCCTCCTTCACTGGTTTTAAAAATTTGGGACTTGTATTTTTTAGGAAAAGGGCATTGTTGCCTGGAGACAGAGGTGGACCTGACTTCAGCTGTCTCCACACCCATTGCCACCAGCACTCCTCACCCTCTTGTCCCCCAGCTTTGGGAGATACTGCCAGGTGATGGTAGCCTTGCCCTGCAAGCTCTGTCTTGCCTCACCTGATCTCAATCACAGGGCTTAATGCAAAATCCAGAGTAGCTTCTAAGGAAAAAAGTGGACTCCCTGTCTTAAATGAATGGGGTAATGAGTGTCCTAAGAACATTCTTTCCTTTCTAGAAATTCTGTCTAAGCAGCCTGGGGAAGCTTGCTCTTAATTAGTTTGTTGAACAAGCTGCTCTCAGAAAGGCAGCATTGCTGGAGAGACTGGGTAATGTGTTGATAGCCAGCATAATTCCAGATGAGAAATAAACAGGTTTGAGCTATCTTTACCCACTATATAGGGCTAAACTTCTTGTTTCAAAGCATCTTATATTTGAAAATAATAAATCCACTGGTGGAGTGGTTCAGGTGTGAGGCCCTGATTTCAAATCCCAATAATGAAAAAAGGGGGGGAGGGTTGGGGGTAGGGCTGAAAATAAATCCCTCCTTTTGCACATGCTAGAAGTGGGACCTGCAAACCCCATTGACTTAGCCTGGCCACTCTTGGAGTTAGTACAGTGTGGGTTTATATTTGGGTCCCTGAAAAGTTCTCATGTGTTATTAAATAAGAAAGCAAGTGTAGTCCTTAGAAACTGCCTTAGCGTTAGGGAAAAAATTTGCAGGCAGGGAAGGTCCTGGATCCTCCATTAGTATCTTTAGCTGCATGTTTTATATATTTTATATGTGAGGTAGCTTTTGAGTTTAAAGATGCAGTAGTATAATCCTTTAAAATGCCTTCCCAAAAAACACACCTATTCAGGGTGGCTTCTGCTCTAGAACAGCAGAGAGGGGTGAGGTTCTAGTTAGTAGCCATGGAATATTTTCATCTGTCTTCAAAGCTTCTGTGATTCCCTCCTAGATCTCTTGGGTCACAGAGAACAACAGTCTTGTGTCCTTTGTATGAAGAGTATTATTTTGGTTTTGCTATATAACATTTCTTTCATGTAGAGAAACTTAAAAAAAAAAAAAAATCCTTGCCCAGAATTGACAGATAATAGCACTTAATTTTATATGCTTGTGAATTAAATGCATCTGTAATGGCTAATTAATTCTTACTAGGCCAGCCCTGGGAATTCATGTTTTCTGTGGTTCTCAGACCACCTTTACTCGTAGTACTTCCTCCCAGCCTCCTGTAGAAAGCATTGCTGGACCAAAAGGCAGGAGTCCTGTGTGTTGGCTGCCACTGTGGTGCCAGGTACCAGTGTAAGCCCCCAACAGCCCCTACCTCTCTCTGGGTCTTCATCCCCCCTTGCAAAGTATGATGGGCCAAGGTGATGTTGGGACTATGTGGCCTTTCAGATGCCTTCCAGAGCTGATGTCCCAGGGCTCCAGCTGCTCTGTGCCATGATCATTCATTCATTGATCACAATGACCTGGTCTGTCATCTGTTCTCCCTTTCAGTGGCTGCAAGAGGAAGAGGACGTGGAATGGGGCGTGGAAACATCTTCCAGAAGCGAAGATAATTTTCTCTGTTGAACAGAACTTTGCCCTTTTTTCCTTTAGGTTATCTGAATTTGTGGGGGTGGGGTACCTGTGTGTATGTCCTAGGGTTTTTTTTTACAGCTTTCTCTTTAGATTAGAGGAACTAGTGAACTAAATAAATCTGGTTGGTTTTGGTTTTTGAGAAAATAAGGACTGTGTGTTCATTTTGGAGTTTGCTTTGGCAGCAGGTTAAATTTTGACACCCCGGGAGATGTCCTGGGAGAGTGCCAGAACTTTGAAATAGCAGTTATTGATAAGAGTTCATGCTTGCTGTTCCAGGTCAGTTGGTGGTTAAGCCCATAGACGCTTATGTTGGAGAACTTCTGAGAACACAGACTGTCTTGTTCGCTTTCAAACACAGGCACTTAATATGGCACTTTGTTCAGTTAGCCTTTGTGGAAATACCATGCATTCACTTCAACAAGACAGGCCATGATGGTGCGTGAAAAGGTTCGGCACTCTGACTGCCATAGTCCAGTATCCTACTAGTTCAGAATGTAGGGAAAGTAATCTAATGCTAAGAAGTAATTCAGGGGATCCTAGTGGTCTATATCTGTGATTCCTATCCTGGCTATATAAACAATTCTGTGGTGATTTGGGAGAACAAATTCTTGTGGGTTTACCAGCACACTCAGCATTGATTGACACATTAATCATTAATGTAGAAAAGATAACTAGAGAGTATACAGTGCAAAAAGCAAGTAATTAGGACAAAAAGATAGAAATTGGGAAAGCAGTCTGAAGAAGTCAAATACTGAAGTGTTAGGGATTTAGTACAGAATGAGCTACAGGATGAGAAAAAGGGATCAGTTATTGGCCCTTAGGATATTAATTTCTAACAGGATTCCTAGTTTGAGTTGAAAACCACAAGCTGGGTTTATTGAACAGATCAAATAATGGAAGAAGAAAATTCAACATGTCAGTTTAGTTAGCATCAAGTAGTGATTTTCTAAAAGCTTTGCCTTACAATCATGGCACTATTAAGAAGTAACAGAACTTGGAGTATTCTTGTGTAATAAAGAACTTCCAAAGCTCAAGAAGCTGAGGCAGGGGGATTGCTTGAGCCTTAAAGTTCGACACTAGCTTGGGCAACAGTGAGACCCCCATCTCAAAAATAAACAATGAAGGCACCAGTGACCTATAATCCTAGTTACTTGGGAGGCTGAGATCAGAAGGATCATGGACCTGAGTAAATAGTTCACCAGATTCCCATCTCCAGAATAACCAGAGCAAAATGGATTGGGGGTGCTACTTAAGTGGTAGTGCCTGCTTTACAAGTACAAAGCCCTGAGTTCAAACCTCAGTCTCACAAAAAAAGAAAAAAAAAAAGCTTTCAAGGAACAAACATCAGTTGGTCAGATAAAACAGGCACTTTAAAAAGAAGTCTTTAAGGATTTTTTCACCAGAGCTACCCTGTGTCTCTTATTCCAGTGCCCCTAGCTCTTGACGTATTTTGATGATGTGACTGGTGGCTCCTATAGGCAGGCTGCTCCATGGAATTCACATTCACTGTGAATGGCTTTACAGAATTAATTTTAGGTTTGACCAGGAATTAATTTATAGTTAAAATTTCTGTAAAGAAAAGAAAGATGTAGGGCCAGGATGCACCGTAGTGATAGAACACTAGCCTAACATGATAAGACCATGTGTTTGATCTCCAGGATCACAAAAAGAAAGAAACTTACACATTAGGTTACATATTCAATGGATTCTTTTAAAGTCTTTGTAAGTGGAGTTCTTTCAGGTAGAAACTGCTACCCACTGGAACCCTGCTGGGATTACTTTCCATCTTTCCTGCTAGTGACATTGGTTTACTTACTGATGAAGCCAACTAGGTTATTAATATACTGAGCAAAACCAGTGGTTTTCAACACCAGCTAGGGATCCTGTTAGAAGCGAAGATTCTAAGGCCTACTCCAGGAATCTGCTTTTTTTCTTTTTTTTGGTGGGGGGGGACATGTGAACTCAGGGTTGAACACTTGCAAATCAGGCACTACCACTTGAGCCACACCCCGAGTCTGTTTTGCTCTGGTTATTTTGGAGATGGGGGTCTCTGGAGCTATTTGTCCAGGCTGGCTTCCAACCACCATCCTCTCAATATCAACTTCCCAAGTACCACCTGGCTGAATCTGCATTTTAAACAACGTGCTTATACCCCAGCTAAGTGATTTTGATTCGGTAGATCTGAAACCATTTCTGACCCTGAAGTAAAGCGTGTTTTTGTTATTTTTAAAAATTGTTTATTTTTGAGGTGGGAGTCTCACTGTTGCCCAGGCTAGTGTCAAACTTTTGGGCTCAAGCAATCTTTCTGCCTCAGCCTCTTGAGTAACTGAGACTACATGTGCACCACTATTCCCAGCTCTGTATGTTTTATCCTGTGTATGTTATATTGTTACTGTGTATTGAAAACAAATAGTTCTGTGATGTTTATTAGAAAAAATAGCCACTCTCCTGCTCTGCCTGCCTATCTCCTTCATTTTTCTGGCTTCAACATAGTCCCTTTTCAACTCATGGCTCACTTGTCTCAATTTAAATGTGTTCACACATGGTGATGCACACCTTTAATCCCAGGACTAAGGAGGTGGAAGCAAGAGGAATGAGAGTTCGAAGCCATTCCAAGCTGCATAGGGAGAGCCTGTCCCAACAAAAAAACATGTTCACATGGCTACTCCTTGCTGTGTCAGTTTTAGGCATTATCTTTTGATGTGTATTCCCTATCACCCATATCCTGATTGTAATTCTGTTTTCTGTCATAGTCATTGTTAAATTATGACTGGTTAAATTATGACTGTTGACCTTTGTAGTAGACTATTGCAGAACTTTTTCCTAGAAGTAATAATCCTCTCACATTTCTATTGGCTTAATTTTCTATGTGTCACTAGTTGAATTCCAGTCTTATCTAAAGACCTTGACATATCATGTATTTATCATTTGTTCTTCACTAACCTGATCTGAACTGGTATGCCTCCTTTCTCTACCCAGCCACCTCCATGCCTATTGTGTTGCTGTCATCCCCACACTCTTCATCTGTTGAGTGCCTCTTTGTGTAGCCTCTTCCTCCCTTGGTTCATTACCTTATTCTTGCTTCTTCTGCCTTCTGACTCATCCAGGTGCTTTCCTGTAATAACCCTGCATATAATATGCCCCCTTTACTTGGAAACTGTAATAAATTCAACACTCCATCCTGTCAATTTAATTTTTATCTACTGGTAATAGCAAGCACTATTCCCAGCCCTGTGATGCCGTGTGCTCTTCAAATCCTCTTTTATGGTTCTTTCCCTAGCTTCAGTTAGTTTCTTCATTATATGCTAAATATTCTGCTAAATATTCAAAAGGGACCTTTTGTAGGTCTTGTGGGTTCTCCAGCTTTCTTCTCTGATATTTGTTCTGAACTCTTATCTCTGATTTCTCAACCCAGGCAGATGGGAAGGTCCACTTCAGTCCCCCTGCCCTGTGCCAATGACTGGAAACTCATAAGGCAGTAACTGGGGTAATTTTACAGCTCCCCTTACTTCCATTTTTTAATCTCCTTCAATATCTTTGTTTTTTTTGAGATAGGGTCTTAGGAATTATTTACACGGACTAGCCTTGAACGTCAATGCTGATCTCTGCTTCCTGAGTAGCTAAGATTACAGGCATGAGCTAACAACACTCAGCTCTTTCACTATCTGATACCGTATATATATAAAACTTGAAAACCAGTTTCATACTTTTTGTCTTTTTTTTTTTTTTCAGGCGCCATAGTAAATCCAGGTAATTACCTGTCAGTTGACCAGTGGTGGAAAAATATCCTGCATGCCTTATTTTGATTTAAGTATTCAATACCCAGCAAGAAAACTTACTTTTTAAGCTTTTTTTAAGTTATAATTTCATTGTGCCAGGGGTACATTGTGGCATTTACAAAAGCACTTGCAATAGTTAAATTCACCCCTACCATCATTCTCGTTTATCCCCCTCCCCCCAAGCAAGAAAATTTAGAAGCTAAGATAGTACCAGGGAATCAAGCGAATCTAAATCCTCCCTAATATGAAGCCAGAGGTTTGGAGAGAAATGGTAGTGGTGGTAGTCAGACCAGAATCCACGTTAAATCTTGACGTCATCTTTCTATGATACTACCCTTTAGTATCTATATCTATCAGTCATCTATGTCTATATATAGATAATATGTATCTTCATTTTCCACTAACATTTTCAAAGAAAATACATGTTTTCTTCACAGAGAACTTGTTAAATATTCAGATCTACACGTGATCTTTTCCTTTTTAAAAATTTTTTCCACCCCTCCCCCCCCACCGCCACATACACACATGATCTTGACTGCCTTTTGGAAATCATGGCAAAAAGTTGGAACCCTATTCTCTAGAGGGGAACAGGTTTCTGGACGAGGAGATCTTCCCTGAGACCTGCAAGAGAAAGTGAATGTGGACATAAAAGAACACTAAAATTTCCTACCACTCCCCCCATCGAGTTCTCCAGAAGGCATCAGCTAAAGATAAAGCCTCCTGAAATACTGAGAATCTGTCCAGCCCAAGAAGAAAGTCTTAGAAGGGTGGGTATTGGAGACTTCTCCAAAGAAGTTCAATCAGATCACCTTACAAATGCATATTCCTCTTGATACTCCACTCTGAAATATAAACAGACTACTGATGACTACCCGGCAGCCAAAGTCTAGCATGAAAGTCTGAATGATAAAAAAGCAGAAAAAAACCTAAGTAGGGAGATGAAAGCTTTAAGCATATTAATGTTCTCAGAGATAAGATATAACCACATAACAAAAAATTCAAAGTACCAACTTGGAGTAAAAAGATCTAAAGACAGAAAATGACAGGGGAGATGGGAATGGGGATTGGATGGTTGTTGGTGGTGATGGGGCAGGGTGGTAAAGATAAGAGGTAAGCCTGAAAATAGGAATTCCAAGAAGGAAAATCATAACCAAAGGAAGGAAATCATAAACAAATTGAGAAAGTTTCCCAAAAATGAAGGACAGGAGTTCATCTTGCAAGAGTTCATCAAGAGCCTGGCACAGTGCATGAGAACAGACTCTCTCAAGGTATGTACATGGTAAAATTCCAGAACCTTGCAACAGAAGGAAAGAAAAGAGTCTCAACTCAAAATGGCTTCAGACTCTGTAGTACTAGGTGCTAGATGACAAAG